CTGTCCGATCATCGCCAGAATATTATTCTGCTCCTCCTCCTCCTCCTCCTCTTGATCCAGCGAGCGGCGTCCGCGCCTCCTGGGGAGGTCGTCTACCCCTATGTGATCGTACTTCTTCATGGGCGGCCCCGGGCGATAACCTCGGACAATCGGTGGCATAAGCGGCTCCTCCTTGGGCTTCCTCGGATTCAGCTCGCTGGACTCGAGACTCCCTTTTGCCGAGCCGCGGGCCCGACGAGCACTTGGGCGCGCCGCTGGAGGTCAGGCGGGGGCCTGGTGCACCTTGGACTCCCCTTTCATCAGCGGGGTGGACTTGTAGCTCAGCCTCAGCGCACACTCGCCGCACATGCGCCACTTCGCGTGGCCGTTGCCCAGCAGCGTCTCCTGGTTGAATGGGTGCCGGCACGCCAGCTGAGTCGAGGTGGGGACTCTCATCTTTCGAGGCCATTCCTGCGGATCGAGACGGCCGCGCGCACTCATCCACAGCAAATTGACCCCCAGCTTCTCCTCGCGCGCCGCCGTGCGACTGACCACCGCTCCCCATTGGCGATGTCCCTGGGTATTGGCTGGTCGGTCGCTATCCGCATCTGAGTCTGGTCCGCCTCGGATCCCATCAGATTCTCGTGCTCCACGGTCGATGCTGCGGTGGGTCTGGTGGCGTGCAAGACTGTTTGTTCCGATGGCTACGGAACAGCCGGGCTGCCTGGGGTCGGAGGTCCGGGTAGGGTGATTTCCTGGCAGGTCGTTTAAGAGGGACGTGCTCGATGGAGTTGCGCATTCCTCTTAGGTATCGGAATCAGAACCGGACGTGCCTGGCGCGTTTCGGCGCTGATCAGATTTGCGAGCTCCGTCCGACGCTTTGACGAGATCACTCCTGTCTTCCTGCCTCCTTTCCTCTCCTCCCCCCTCATGTTCAAACCCCTGGCTCCTCGACGCAGTCACAGCGTGAGTACCGGCCCTCGAAGGTTCTGACGGCGGGTCGGTAGTCGGGACCGCTGGTTCTCTGCTCTTGCCCCTGTTCGAGTTCCCTCTGGGCCCCTTGGCCTGTCCTTCGCAGCTATCGCTCAACCCCCCAACGCCGCCAATCGCATCGAGTCGGGCCCTATGCGTGGGAGAAAAGCGAAACGCTCCCGGCTTCAGGTTATACATGACAGCAACAGCAGGTGGCACTTCGAATTCTTCGGGGGGGCCCAAACGGTCGATATTCACAACCCGGTGCTCGAGAGGGGGCTCGACTCCGAGGTGAGTGAACCGAACTCGGCCCTGCTGCAAATCAATGACAGTTCCTAACATTTCCTGCATGCCCACCGGCGTCAGTTCTGGGAGCTCCTGTCCTACATGATCTACCTGCATCACTCCCCCGCGGCCCTCCAGTGCCCGAGATGACCGGGACGTGCCCCCCCGACGCCCCGCGCAAAGGCATTGCTACTCTTCACTCTCTCAACCCGATAGCCTACCTCACTCAATCTTTTTGCCGAGCGGGCCAGCGACTCCGGGCCGATGAGACCCTGGGCCGCCGCCGCGCCCACGATGATCCGGCCGCCCTCGGTAGTCAGGAAGACTTCCGGCCGGGGCGATCCTGCCCCAGAGGGGCGGCGGAGGGCCTCCTCTCAGCGCCGGGCCACGTCGCTGATCGTGGCCAGCGCCAGTCCGGGGCCTTTTGCGGGCGCCTCGTTCAGGAACACGAGCCCGCTCACGGTCGACTGCTTGCCCCCCGGGCATTCTCTCGACCAATGACCTTTCATGCGACGTTGCTTGCACCTGGTGACCTCCGCCAACTGTTCGATGCTGAGGCGATCGCGCCGTGGGCGGGGCTGGCTGCCGCCGCCGCCGCCTCCGCCGCGCTGATCTCCACCTCCGGCCGCCCGGCGGCCCTGTCGAAAGCCCCCTGCCGGATGGGGTGGGTGGGTGGGTGGGTGGGGGGGATAGAACTTCCCGTCTACTTTCGCTTGTCTCTTCATCATCATGTTCTCTTGCCACGTCTTCTTCCGCTCCTGTCGGAGCTCCGCTAGAACAAGAGGTGCCCGATCCTCGTCGATGTCCGCCGAGTCGATTCATGAGAAGATATCCTTCTCCATGTCCGTGCCCACCGAGACCTCCGACTCTGCGTCGCGGTCCTCATGGTAGGTCTAGCTCTCGTCATCTCCCTCGTCCATGCACGTGCGTGCTGCGCGGCTCGGGCCCGGCAACATCTCCGTCTCGGACAGGTCGGGCTCCCGGGTGGCGCCCTGGAGGTCCTCGTGATTGCCGGGGCCGCGGGCGAGCGCTCGTAGCATCTGTTTGCCGCTGTCGTCTAGGTTCACCCCTTCCTCCACGAAGAAATGCACCCCCTTGTCTGGGAGCAGCAGACCTTGTGCCCGAAGCATGTCGAACAGCTGCTCCATGCGCGCGGCATGCATGGAGAGCGTCTCCCCGGTCTTACGCTGGTAGCCGAAGAGACGCCCCCGCGCCGCGCGACGATCCCCATCGTCTACCCTCTTGTCACTCATCGCGCCCAGCTGCTTCAGGATCGTCTCTGGGCCTGTGTCCGAAAGCAATGCCTCATCACTGACATCTTACATGTCGCGCTGGAGCTCTACGTCCAGCACTTTCAGCAATCGATCTGACCTCTTCGTCGTTGCCGCGTCGGTGGATGCCCGCCAGCGGCGCGCCTTTCTGCGCCACGTGCGAAAGTCTGCCCAACCCATCCAAGGATCTGGATCTGAGTAGTCGGGCTTGGACCATGGTCTCTCCTGCCAGGACTAGCCCGATGACGTCCAGTCGCAGCCCTTCCTCTTGTTGTCGTCGTCTTCGCCCTTCTTCATCTCGTCGCCGTGGCTCTTGCCGTCCGCGCTATGCCGCCAGGGCGCGCGCGCGCGCGCATCTCCCTGCGAGGCGCTGCGCTCCCGCGGCCCTGCTGGAACCTGCACGATCGGCTCCTGCCGGCCGCCGCGCGGATCTTGCGACGTCCGCGGGCCGCCCCGAGCACGCCGGCCCGCGCCCCCTGGTCCGGGCGCTGCCGCCGCCGAGCTCTCGGCTCCAGGCGGGCGCCTGCTCGCTTCTGCTAGCTCCTGCAGCTGGCCCTTCAGCTCCTGGATCTGGCGACTGCTGCTCTCTGCGATCATCTTCGTGATCGCGGTCAACTGCTTCTCCGGAAAAACCACTGGAACCGTCTCCGCCGGACTGACTGGAGGACGCATCCCCTGTCTCCGATCTTGCTCCGACCGGCCTCCAAACACCTTTGTTTCCTCGGTGGCTGCCCTGGCTGCTGTGCGAGGACATGCGGCCGCGCCAGCAGCTGGGCCCGTGGGGGACCACAGGCTCCGCTACCACTGACGCGCCGACATCGGCAGCAACACCAAGCAACAGTGTTTTGCGAAGGCGATTGCAAGACATAACATGCAGAGGGTGCCCTAAAGCCAACATGATTACGGGTATCATGTGCATGACAACTAGCTCAAGCCCACACAGGTGAATTCCACAACGCGTTAAATCATCTTTGCCCGCCAAATGTGGCGTTCTGAAAATCCTCTCCGAGTGGCAAATGCAGGACTTGACCAGTCGTTTGCGCACAGCTGGCGAGGGGGGGCATTTACAAGGGGAGCAACAGCAAGGGAAGACGGGGGGAAGGAACGGGACGGCGACAAGCTTGCAAAATACTACCACCCCCCGCCACCCACGGCCAGAAAAGTATAGTAAATGACCCAGGGCCGCTTGCGATGTACAACGCGTCGCTGGGTGCGTCGATGAATTTGCATGGGTCGCGGGAGCCTCCATGGGTTGTAATTGTAATTGCGCTAATGGAAGTAAAAAGCATCAGGTACGGTAGGCCCCTTGAAAAGGAAAGCGCAAACGTGATGTCGTTTTTTTTCCATCGGAAGGCCTCTTGGAAAGGGAAACGCAAACGGTAGGCCCCTTGGAAAGGAAAGCACAATCGTAATATGCATTGCAACAATATTCGCTGGAGCGTCCACGACGGCCTCGGCGAGAAAACAACCAACATTGTTAACTGTTCGACGCGATTCGGGCCACGCGCTGGCGGCGAAGCCGCCGCGGCCCCAAGGTTGCCTCATTTGGACAATGGTAAACACGTTTCGTAAGATACGCAATGGTGGGAAACAACCCCAGACGAACCTAGCCCCTGGGAGTTGGCGGGGCACCAGACGGCGCCCGAAGAGCGCCGACCGAAAGGTCGGCCCACGGGCCGCAACATATGACGCGATATACGTGATGCGCGACGCACGCAAACGAGCAGGAGGAGGAGGAGGAGGAGGAGGAGGAGGAGGAGGAAGAGGAGAAGGAGAAGGAGGAGTGGGCGCCCCCAGACAGCGCCTTCGGCCCTTCGCCCTGCCCAGACCTTCCAGGCGCAGGTGGAGGATAGAGGATGGGATATGGGGGGCGGGGGCGATGGCGCGCGGGGCGCAAGAGGGGAAGTCGGCAAACAGGACGGAGGCACGAGGTCAAGAGGGTGCATGAGGAAATGGGGAATGGGGGAGGGCAAGGGTCTAGACACTCGCCAGCGTTGGCGCTCGACCCTGGCAGGCGCCTGCCGCCCCCCCATCGTCTGGATAGGGTATACCTCCTCCTCCTCCTCCTCCTCGTCCTTCCCCTCCTTCTCCTCCCACTCCTGCTCCTGCTCCTCCTCCCCCTCCTCCTCCACCTCATCCTCCTCCTCTTCTTCTTATTCGTCCTCCTCCTCCCCCTCCTTCTCCTCCCCCTCCCCCTCCTTCTCCTCAGGGGCCGATGGATGCGGGAGGGGGGGCCACGATGGCAACGCTGAAAGATACCAGGATTCAATATTCAAAGACCCTGGAACAGGGTCGCACCTGCATCCTGAGCGTCCCGCGGCGAGCGCACCCCGCGCGCTCTGCCTCTCAGGCGGGGTGCCCCCGCGTCGGCACCGCGGCCTCGGCCGTCTCGGCCGTCTCGGCCGCCTCGGCCGTCTCGGCCGTCTCGGCCATCTCGCTGGCAGCAGCGGCCGCCGGCCGCCTCGCTGGCCGCGACGCGCAGCCGCGACACAGTCATGCGCCGCCAGCGGCGGTGTCGGCATGCTTGCCAGCCTTCCTGAACTTGGGCTTCGACTTCGTCATCGGCACCACCGTCGTCGCAGGCTCGGGCAGCGTGGGCGCCTGGGTGGCCTGGGCGCCGCAACCCACCATCTTGGTGTATCTCTCGCAGGCGTCGCGGAGGGCTGCGGGGAATCGCTCAGGCGGCACCGACAATGACTTGTGAACATAATTTAGCACTTTCTTGAGCGACGAGCTGTCCACCATCACATTGATCGCACTGGTCAAAACCATGAACCCGAACAAGTCGCATGCGCTCGCCACGGCATCCTCCCGACTCTCCATGGTCGACTCCATCTCGTCAAGCTTGGCCTTCTGCGCGGGCGGCGCCCACTCGGTGCAGCCCTTCGCGCCGACCACCTGAGACCTCCACATGTCGAGCTGCCCGAGGTATCTCAGCAATGAACTGCCTTTGGCCTCGTCCTCAGGGCTCCCCTCCGAGTCGCCACGAAGCTTCGGCACGTCCTTGAACTCCCACTTCTCGATGGCGCCCTTCGCCCGCTGGTTGTCGTCCAAGAACGTCTTGGCGAAGGCGCTCGCGCGCATCATGTTGCCGTGGGAGGCGCTGAGGCTCGCGTCCCAGGACTGCTTCACGATGTCGTAGCTGTTCTTGAAGTCCGCAATCCTGTTCGCAGTCGCAGGGCCGTGCTCCTCAGCCAGCGCCTTCTCCATGGCATCGATGGCGCGCGCCAGCTCGATGCACCCGCACGTCTTGCCCTGGCCCGCTCGCGAAGCCAAATCCTTCACGACGCCCCACGCCCTGAGGACCTTGACGATGCCCTGGACGTCAGGAGACAGGAACATTTCGTAGTTGGACAGCTGAGTCGTCAGCACGTCGAGGCCCCTGACGCCCTCCTGCTTCGGAATCTCATCGAGAATGAAATCGACGATATACTTCTTCCACTGCGCGCCCACGACCTTGTCGCAGAAACCTTGCAGGAACTTGCACTCCGAGTCGCCGTCGTCGATCCTCTGCACGGCCGCCTGCAATATGCGCTGGGTGGCGTTGCCGAAGTTCATGGCCAGGTCGCACAAATTGTCCGTCGGCTTGAAGAGCTCCGTGCAGCCCTGGGTCAGCCCGATCGCCTTCGACAGCCACATGTCATTGGGAAGGAAAGGTCGCGCAACCTGGAGCGCGCCGTCCAGCCAGTCCAACACCTCCATCGGCGAGATGACGGCCGTGCCCTCTCGGGCCGCCTCTCCAGGCGGCACGGGGAACACGTCTGCGCTTGTGTCGCCAGCCAGTAGCGCATTCACCGCCGCCTGGAAGTAGTTGCCATCGTGCTCCAAGCAGGCCCTGATGAGGTCGAGCACGACACTGGCGAAGTTCGTTGCCACCTCGTTGGGGGCGCTGAGGACAAAGGCGGCGGTGTCTGGGCTCGGCGGCATCTGCGAGCACGTATCCGTCACGGATGGGGCATCGCCAAACACTTCGGCGAACCGTTTCACGTTGACGTCGGTCTCCATGATGTCGATCATGGCGTCCCAAGCATCGACCAGCGTCCCGTCTGAGATTGCTGACCTTCCCACGTCGATCATCCTCTGGATGGCGTTCAACTTCTCAACCGTGCACTCGGACTGCTCTGTCATGTACGACGACTTGAACAACTGAACTGCGTCAGCAGCGGCCTTGCCATGCTGCAAGGTCGAACCCTGGATGATGCGGAACGTGTTCTTCATGCGAGCGGAGGTCTTCTCGGAATGGCTGCAAAACTCCACCATCACCTCCCGCGCCATTCGGTCGCCAACGAACCCCGACCCCCCCCCCCCCCGAAAATGCCAGCCCATGCACCCGCAAGCATTGCAAGTCCACCCATGCTTGGTGGAACCAGCCCTTGCCTGCCATCACTTCGTCGCTGTCGACGCGCACCTGTGCAAGGTCTGAGTCGATGCACTTCAGCTTGTCATTGATCCCCTCAGAGATGGTCACGATAGCCGCGGTGTCCTGCATCCTCCACAAGATATCTCCCAAGTGCATGACGATCTTCTCCTGGGCGGACTTCGCGTGGGCTGGGACCAAGAGGCTGAGGTCCATATATTGTTTGTCCTTGCACTCATCCCCCACGAAATTGCTGAAGTCGACGTCGGTCGAAGCCGCCATGCACCTGAACCGCGCGCCCACCATGAACTTGGACTTCGGGTTCTTCGCGACGTGAGTGGTGAACGTGCGCAGGCACTCCGCAACGATCTGCGCCTGACAGAATGATGAGGCGACCCCCGCTTGGAACAAAAAGACGAATTCCACATTCGTTGATTTCCAAGTTTGCCTGGAATGGGATGGAGCGGACTGTGGCTAAAGTCGGGTGGGCTGGATAATGTTGGGCTGAACTGCGTTGGGCTGGGCCCGCTTGCGTCCGCATGGCTTCCTCTGGTCTTGCTCTACCCACCCTACTCTACTCTGTCCCACTCTACTCTACTCTCTACTCTACCCTACCCTGCTCTACCCTACTCGTTCTAGCCGGCTATGTAGTGTGCCATCTACCTTACCCATGCCCTATTCTATTCGCGGGGACCGTCTACCTTACCCTGCCCCACATGACCCTAGTCGCTGCTCTTCTCGGGAGCCACGGGAGCGCCCAACGATGACCCCCCAGTTGGCCCCGAGAGCGCCCCGCAATCCGCTAGGAAGTGCCATCAAGCAGCGCGTTTGGATGACGCGCGCCAGCGGTGCACCACGGGGCCAAAAGGACAAGCGTTGCAACGGTTGTTCTTTTGTCGGGCCTCCCGATACGGCGTGTTTTGGCGACGCCGAGAGAGTGCAGGAACGGCCCAAGAGGGCTCCAAACTTGCTGTCGGAAAACATGCGTCAAGGCGCTGTGTAATCACATCCGAGCGGTCCATGGGGCACTTGAGCAATTCTTAGGGCCCCCCCTGGGCCTTCCTAACTCTTGAGCTTGGGACCCTCCGGGATGGCACTTCGAAGCGCCACTGGGCCCTCCGAGAGCACGCGTGCGAGGGCCCTCCGAGACGACACATGCACTAGAGTACGATGGGGCAGACTAGAGTCGGTAGAGCAGGTACAGCAACAATATAATAGAGTACTAGAGTACAGAAGAGCAAAGGAAGCGACGCGGACGCTGCCCCGCCCAGCCCACCCCTGTCCAGTCCCGTTTTTCCAGCACACACTACTTCGGTCCACCCCAGCCCACTCCAGGCAACTTGAAAAACTGAACGTGGCAAACTTCTTTTTTAGCGGGGGATGCCCCTCCCTGTATTTCAACCGTCGCTGAATTCGGGCAACTCTGAGTTTCAGTTTCAGGCTGCAGCTGCAACGCCAATGGTTTCTAGGCCCAGGGGGGGCACTGGTCCTGGCCTGGTCCCCATGTTTTTGTTGAAGGAATTTGGGGTGTGGGCCTTCAGCCTATCGGGGCAGGACTTCAGCAACTTCGCGTTGACGTCATCCAACGGCTCCGACAACAGGTTCACGGTGTCGTTCCTGCACCTATCGATGAACAAATGCCTTGCCTCCAAAAGGTCGGCGAGGTCGGCGAGGTTGACGGACATGTCGGTGGCCCTGTCGTTGACGACGATCCTTCCGCATGTGCGGCTGAATCCCTGGAGCTTCTTCACGACTGCATCGAAATCCCTCTTCCTGACTCTGTCGACCCAGTGGTTCTCCCAGGAGAACTGCTCCTTAATGTACTCACGGTAGCTCTCCGCCTGGTCAACTTGGTCGTTCGGGGTCGCCCTCCTCCTCTTGGTCTCCGTCCCCGTAGGGTTGTCGCGCCTCTGCCTCGGCGCGGGAGTCGGACTCGCCGCGGCAGCACGGTCTTGCTGCGAAGAGCCCCCTGGCGACGACAACACGGGGATGATGGCTTCTTGGTCGGGCCCGTCGTCGCGAGAACCGTGCCGACGAAGACCCTTCTGCACCGAGCCAATAGACGGCGGCCTCCCCCCCAAGCCCATCGCGCCAAGACCTGGCGCTGCGATGGGCGCAACCCCTGAGGTTCCTGGGAACTGGCCGCTAGGCGCACGGCGAGATTCGCTCTCCCCCCCGTCGGGGCACGACGACCTGCCATCGTCCAGGTCCGCGCGGCCATGGTGCGCGCGGGCGCCAGAGAAAGCCACCTGCGCCATGAGCTTGTCCTCCCGATTGACGAAGTGCTCCTTGGCCATGTCCCCCTTGTCGGCGTCGTACTCGTCAGCTTTGTTGATCGTCGCCTTGTGAGCCCTACCCCGTCGGAACCTGTACTCGCCCTCGTCCTGGTCCATCGTCTCGACGCCCAGGGTGGCGCCATCTTTACCAGTAACAATCTCCATGTGAGGGTACTTCCCCCTGAGCATCGCCACGAGCTCCTCGGTCGAGCCCCAGCCCTGGACGTTGCGCAACCTGGCGAACTTCTCGAGGGGAGTGAACGTTCCTTCGACGAAGTCCTCGTCGAATGTCTCCCTCACCTTCTGCACTGTGGTCGTCTGCTTCGTCTTGAGGTGTTTCCCCGCTTCCTTCTGGGCTACGCCGCGCCGCTTCTGCACGAAATCGTCGTCCACATCCTTCGCCCTGCGCATCTCCTGAAGCTTCTCCCTGCTGCAGCACCAATACTTGCGGCGGGTGTCGTAGCACTTGTAGCACTCGTTCCCGTACGGCATCCTCGGTCCATGAGGCTTCTTGGGGTCGACGGGCTTCGTCCTGTTCCACACGAGGAAGTAGGGCTTGTCGAGCGGAGAGTCCCTGTCGACCTCATGGGTGGACTGCTCGCAGGACTGGCACACGCATGGGTCGAACTCGATCCACTCGCAGATCGGGCCGGTCGATGGCTGACAGGTGGCTGGCCTGCCGCGCTTCCCCCTGCGCTCGGCCTGGGGGCCAGCCCTCTTCGGCGCCATGCGGTGAACTCACAATGGAGACTCACAGATCTATGCGCCCTGCCTGGTCCAAATGGCTGCGTGCAGTCCGAATCCACGGATCTCCCGAAACCAACAGGGACAATGGAACGGAGCCGCAGGCCGCCAGGGGCCATGAAGAAACACGACATGGTTACATGATTCTCCCTAGATGCCCCATTGGCCTATGAGAGCCTGTAGGACACTTAAAAGTTGTTCTGGATTCGGTTTAATATCGTACCAAGTTGTTCGTTACTGGTGGCCAGTTGGCGCCATCGTTCCTTCACTTCGTTGCGCGGGGCGGCCCCGCTGGGACCTGGCAGCCAGCCCAGGGCCTGGGGCCCGAGGAGGCCCTGTGCGAACGCGGCTGCTCGAACCCCAGCTGGAACTATAATCTAGCTATGATGGCGCCAAGGGGCTCAAGGGGGGGACCGCATCATCGATTTCTTGTCCATCCAAGCTGCTGAGGCGAGTCCGCGCACATTGCGTATGCGCCCCATGCTCTGGCCAGCAGCAAAACACCAGCCTCTGCCAAGGATGAAGGAGTCAGAGGGCGGGACGGGGCGGGGTAGGGTGGGAATGAATAGTGAAGGGAAGGGAGCACTGGAAAAAAAAAAAAAGAAACATCCTTGCTTCCTGGCCAGTTCGGGAACGGCCTGAGACGCGGGCATGGGCACGGCCAGCCATGCCATCAAAAAGAAGCGAGGCGCGCGTGCGACCTCATCTCAATCAGTCCGACCCTGACTGCTGGGCGCCAAGGTCTTGTGCGACCTGGGCGACAGCGATCTGGCGAAAGTCGCCCCCGCGGCGAGCTGCCTCAATCACCCTGGAAAGCTCTTTCAACTTTGTCCTGAGAAGCTTCGCGCGCTTGGCGCGCCCCGCACTCACTGCTTTGAGGATCATGTTGGCACGCACTAGCTTCTGGACCCGTCGCTCGAGAGCTGCGTGCGAGGGCGAGCGGGCCTTGGGCGCCATGGGGCAGCAGCGGATGTCAGCTGGAATGGGCTCGACGTTTGCCTGAACTGTTGGACTTGGGCCTGTGACGGTTCGACGGGGGCGATCATCGCACGCGGGTGCCCGGCCCTCTGCCAACCTAAACCCCAGACACGTTCCTCAAAACAACCTCCCCCCATGTGAGTGTGACCCTCTACATGTGTTGCTCTTACTATGCTTGCTGTAAGCGTGGTGAGCTAGAGTGACTTGTTACTACGTGACAACGCTGACATGTTACGTATTCGTGCGCATGTTGATACATCAAATGGTGATGTTTGACCACGCATAATATCTGAATCGCTGCTCGGGCCCATATTGCTCCCAGCTCGGGTCTGAGAAGACGACGCAATCAATGGAATGTGCTGGCATGGTGAAACCCCGCCGAGACTGGGCACCCCCCGCTCGAAAAAGTCATGGCGCCCGAAACTCGCCGAGTCGAGTCAGCCTGGCAGCGGGCTCACCAGGAGCGGGGGATGCACGCGAAAGCGGTGGAACAAAATCTCCGCGCCGCGGAACAAAACCGCCTGACCGTGGAACAAAATCCGCACTTCGACGCCAACGAGCGTGGATTTCATTGTAATTTTACACGTCGGCTGCACTTTGTGCCATGGAACAAATATTTGTTCCGTGGAACAAAATCTTGTTCCATGGCACAACATTTTGTTCCATGGAACAAACTGTGTTCCATGGCTGGTGCAGTTTTGCTCCGCGCGTTTTCGGTGGGCCTGGCGCCGCGGCAAGGATGCGCACGAAGCCCGAGGGCCAGTCTCGCCGAGCCCTCCGACGCCCCAGACGCCCAGGTTCTAGGCAACCCCAGACCCAGATGCAGGATCCAAAGCGGTCAGAGCGGACTCCATGGCCCTGAGGAAAAAAACAGATTCATCATCGACACCTGGCTTCACTCTCTCATCCCTTAGGAATTTCAAGTCGACCAACCTGGTGGGCGCTGGCAAACGACTGATGCAACCAGCGAGCCCGTGCATATACGACTCGTGCCGCAAAGAGTTCGACCTGCGAAACCGATACGTGAGCCTGAAACTGCCTGGGCGAATGAGCTCATTGCACACCCAGCACTTGGCCCTGGCCTTGGGCGGCGCCTTCTCGTATCTCCGCAGGCCGGGGTCGAAGTGCCCGTCCTGTGGGCTGCGGGGCGAGTGGGGGAGGAGAGGGGCGTTGGCGGCGTGGGTCGGAGCCAGGAAAAAAAGATCGCCCAGGAACCGCTGGTCTCCAAGCTCCCTTTTTGTGATCCATGCAAGTGCGATCGCGGCGTCGGATTCTCGGCGAGAATCCGACGCCGCGTTCGCACTTGTGGAACATGTCAGCTACCTGGATCTCCTGGGCGCCGGACTTGTTCCAAGAAGCGGGGCGGCTCGACAACCC